ATATGTGATAATTTTGTAGTAAATAATCGAAATTAAGTAGTAAATTAATGATAACATAATAGTAAATGCATAATAAGATAATAGTAAATCACTAATAACTTAGTTGTAAATTAGTGATAATTTAGTAGTAAATTAGTTAATTATTGATAATTTTGTAGTAAAGCATCAATAAATTAATAGTAAATCAGTTATAATTTTATAACAAATAATTAGTAATTTAGTAATAAATTATCAACAATTTAATAGTAAGTCATTCATAACTTAACAGTAGATCATTCATAAATTAGTAGTAAATCAATACTAATTTAATAGTAAATCATTAATAACTTAGTAGTATATCATTGATAGTTTAGTAGTAAATCACTTATAATATAATATTAAATCAATGATATCTTCATTGTCAACCATTGAGAAATTTTTTTTATATTTAAAGTTGTTAGGAATTAAACCTTAGTTATTGGTAGAAAAAAAAGGTAGAAATTTCATCTTGGAATGCTAAGATAAACCTATCATGAACCTATTCAAAAAATTTAGTGAAAAATTCTAAATATGAATGAAACAATAATGTTATTATAGAAAAAAAAAATTATCTTATAATAAAACTGAATCCACACTTTCTTATAAAAATCTATTGTTAAATATATGATGACACAAATCTTATCAATTATTATCAAAAGTATAACATAAGTTACTAAAAGGTTACTAAAATTCCATCAAGAAGTTACCAAAAATTTATTAAAAATTACCAAAATTGTATCAATAGTTACCAAAATTATATTATAAGTTACTAAACTAAAAACGAATGTTAACAAAAGTTATATCAAAAGTTATCAAAATTTTATCAAATGTTATCAAAATCAAAATAATACAAAGAGATATTAAATTTTACTTATATTATATCAAAATCAAATTAAATTACTAATATTTATAATTATTATTATAATATAAAAAATTATTTATTAAAATAAAATTTTAAAAATAAAAAGTATACCGACATGACGCACAAATCAAAAACTAACCAAAATAAAAGTCCATCTCAGAGCTATATAAGCATTACAAGTCAATGCCACTGTAATGATTTAATTTGTATAGCTAAAATCATTTTCTTTTATTTGATAATCTAGGAATTATCCTTCTTTTTTCTTTTCAACATATATATATATATATATATTTATATATATATATATATGATCTTTGTAGTTCTGCCCTGTCTAAGAAAGCAACTAAAGTCTCTTCGGTTCTCCCTTGGCAACCAACGTTTTGTCCTTTTCACTTCATGAAAATGTTTTTCCAGTTTGATGCAGACATTTGGGTCGCCACTCAAAGCTGATGCTGAAAGTAACAAAAGCCCTGGTCTAGACTAGATCAGTGACATAGACACTTTTCCTTTCTTCCTTCTAAGATAGGACATAAAGGCTTAGTGATATTTTATACCAATTTGATGCAATTAACTACATTTGGTGTCTGTGTACCTTAAATGCTTATAAAATTATTTGACTCTTTGTGTATAAATTGCTTACAACATTGGTGCTATTTTCAATGTTGGGTTGTTAATAGATGTCTTGGTGATACCATGGCATCCACTTTTAACCTGGTCTCTCCTTTCCTTTGTTTTGGACTTTCCTTCGACATCCCTCTCCATGGTCTCTCCTATCCTTTCTCTCAACTATGAACATTGACCTTTTATGAATGAAATAAATGCAGCTTGCTACTTCTGTATCTACGATTGAGTTTGCATATCGTACATTACATTCGTGGTGGCACAACTGTAATAGAAATGCAATCACTCTATGAAGAACTTGCCTTTCTAGTGAATCAAATGGTTTCATGGACTTCAATATGCTATACCAGCTTGGATTACTTTTGAATCTGATTTAGTCGCAATGGCTTCTTTCTCAAACCTGTGCTATCTTTTTTCTCTTCTGAACAAGTTGCATCTTAAATTATCATGAGATCCTTATAACTATATGGATGCATGCTTTGCATTTTCTCCGCTCATGCGCTTTTTTTCTTCCTTCGGACTTCTTGACCATAATTTTTTGGCGTTGAAAATGTTAATTGAATCCTGTCACTAAAATTACGTTGTAACAGGAAGTCATATTGTATAACTGATTATTGTTGCCTTCTTCATTTATTGAAGATTTTATGCATACAGCTTAATCCAATCTGGTGCCTGCATCAACACCACAAACATGGTCCAGAGAGTCAAGGCTTTAGGTAAATGTTGAAGGAAATATCAGCAACCTTTAGGTTTGTGGTGCTCTTCATTTTACATGAGATACCAAACCCAATCATTAGACAATATCTTTTTATCAAATTTATAAAAATTAAAATAAAATACAATAAACTCATGTGTTAATTGAGCCTATACGTCTTAATAAACTTTCAGTTAGCATGTTAGTATTTCTTAATATGCATGATTTCAAGTTACTAAAATGCCATTTTCTCTTGGCCTAGAGTAAGGTCATTTCTGTTGCCTTGCAGAGATCCCAACTACTTCTATTTATAGCCCTTTTGGTTGGTATGCCTTTACTTCTGAATTGATTTCAACGCTTCCGCGGTTTGCAAGCAACTCTTTGATTTTATTAGTAACTAAAGTAAATAAATTCTTGAAAATGTTGAAAGGAACATGGATATGTTCTCTATTATCCCATTTTTCTTATCACAATCACACATGAAATAAAGAAGCTCAGCATGAATATAATGTACCCTGACTTACAAAATTTCCTTTTGTTTTGGTCTACTTTCTGTAACTGGCTTCCTTGGTGAAAGTTGCATGGGGCAGCCGCATCTGTCATGATCGTATATAGTAGCCATACTTGTTTGTTAACTTCTTCTTGAAATATTTACTTTAATGGATTCTTCAAGGTAGGACTGCAAGTAAAAGTTACTAATTTCATACTATATCTTTTGGTAATTTTATGTTTCAACCATTTACTGGCTACAACTTGGCTTATTTGTTTACTTCTTGGTGTTGTTGTTAGTTTATGTAACATTGAATCCAGCAGCTTTTTTTTTTGTTATTCTTTTCATTTTTTGGCTGACTGGGATAAAGTTAAACATTTACGTTGGCACCTGAGATGTACTGAAAATCATCAGTGGACTCGAAATTATTCTCAATGTAATGGTGAATCAGATCCTCAAAGGGTCTATGCTACATGCGATTACCACCATTTGAAGTAATAGCTTCTAGAGTTCCACAATTTAATTTCATAACCATCAAAAATTAAGTCCAATGTTACAAAATGACAAGTTAGATGCAATTCATGTCATGTATTCCTTGAATGTGTGAGTATTAAACAGCAGGTTGAATTTAACAATGATATTTGAATGCAAGGACTAGTACTGAGACACTGGTAGGAATCCAAGAAGACAATTTTCCTTCTTGCAAAAAATCGTGATTGCAAATATTAAGTTCTAAGCCTCTAGGAAGGAAAGTAAGAGTGATAAATACTAGAAGCAATAACAGGTTATAATACATAATAGAAAATAACTTCCCATAAGCAGCTGGTGATTAGGTTTCCAATTGCCCACAGTTTTTCCCAGAGAATTATTCACTTGTTATCGATTGTGTTAATAATAGCTTATTGCTACTTTAGCTCTAACTCATTCTATATATGTAAGTAGTTTTCCCTTTCTCTCATCTGATGATTATAGCAGGCAAAGGTATTTAATGCTGTGGGTGTGCTTCTCAGTAGGTTCTGGGCTTTCCTGCGCGGTAGTTTTATTGTTGAGCTTCCTCTTTACTTTCATTTGACACAGATATCCAATGATTGTGGAATTGTAGCTCCAAATGTGACTTGAAAGGAATGGCTTGTAGTGAACCAGGATTAATTGTCATTAGAATTTTTTTCAAAAGAAGACTTGTGTTTTCTTTATGTTGGTGAGTATTTAACGTCTATTTTGTTTACATTTTATGATAATGACACCCAACCTTTATGGCGTTGTTCCTACTTTTGTTGTGTAATAACTCATCTTAATTGTTCTTAGGGAAGCCTAGTTTCTGCTGTTCAATTCTATCTTAAATATGGTTCATGGATTTCCTACAGCTGTGCTATATGATAACAGAATTAAGAGAAGGAAGTGAAATGAGCCTCTTAATCACACTCAAAAATAAATGAATAATCTAACTCCCTTGAAGATTAAGGTTTCACCACCACTCCAAAGAAATAAGAAAAGATAACTCTAAAGAATTTACCTAAGCAAATATTTTATTTGAGCTTTGTTTTGGTTTGATGACTTGGACTGTTAGACAGATTGTTCATTAGTTTGCGTTTTTGTATGGATAAGATCAGTGTATAACTGAGAACTTTTTCCTGCATCACTGTATGATAATGAAATAGTTAGGGCTGGGGTGCTCTGTATTATGGCCATTTAATGTGCATTCACTTCTCATTTTATTCTTGCCACACTCCCTCTTTTGTAGTCATAAAGCATGCGGCATGCTCTCATTGTTAGAATAGAGATTGTTTGGTATTGGCATCTATATAATTAATGAAATTCAAAGGGAAATGCTACTTGTTTTGTTTGATTCCTAATAGAGATTGTTTCAGATGGTTTGAAACTATGGTCTCCTTCTCCAGTGGCCTACTCTTATCTATTGTCCACCTTTTGATGCAGCTTTATCGTTGTCGAATATGTGGAACTGAAACCAAAATCTTCTTTCTTTTTCGTTTCTTTAGCTAATAGAAGAAACACGTCAAATCCTGATACAAACAGTCGTGTGGACTTGGTAGAGTGCTGGTGTTGGATTCTTAATTCCAGCAACCAAGATTCAAATCCCGATGACCTCATTTAATAAAAAAAACACAGATACATACATGCATATGTGTGGTGTGGTAGGAGGAAATTGAAACAAAAATCTTAAATCTTATTCAAAAATAAGAAAACATAAACTTAACCTTTAATTCTCGACAAGTTATCTATCCAAATGAAAGCTGTAGTACAACAGATATTAGAAAATACCACAAACACAAAATCTAAGTAGCACACACTAGACACTAGTGGATAAATTGCATCAAGAAACTGACAAACCAAAGGTGCTGTTTAGGCCCTGGGTTTGAGGTGGAGGCCCTGGGTTTGAGGTGGCCTTCATTGGCGAGCTTGAAGAGACGAGCCTGAGCTGCTGAAGCACTGTTTGAACCAAGTGCTTTAACAAAACTATCCCTGACTTGCTTAGTTGTAAATGGGAACCTCTTATTCACCATGGAGTTCAGCAAGGAAGCTGTCCCTTCTCGGTAAAGCGCCCCGAGTCCATCGGTACGTGTGTTTGAGAGTGCTTGTGGCAAGCTCATGGTTGCTCCGAACCCAGGAATGCTGGTCACACCGAATGCCCTGCCTAAAGTGCCCCACCAACCAAGCACTCCCCATATCAATGTTGGGTGACTCCTCCAGAAACTGAAAGTAACAAATATGAGTTGTTAAGTGTCATCTTCATGATGATAAATAGCAACATTTGGAAGTTGCTGTGACTTACTCGCATGTACCACCAATAGGTGGAGTTGGAGCATGAAGGAATGGAGGTGTGGGAACGCTTGGAGTTCCTGGATCAATAATGGGAGTGGTTGGAGGACTGCCACCTCCATAAGTTGGAGGGGAGTGGTAATATCCACCATGTGAAGGAGTGTGTGATGGTCTTGACGGAGTCGATGGTTCATGTGGTGGAGTTCCACAACTTCCACCTGAAGGCGTTGAAGGTGTTGGGTGGTAGCCACCGCTATGTGATGGGGTTCCATGAGAGGGAGTTGTGCCACCATAGCTACCTCCTGAACCGTGTGATGGTGTCCCATGTGAACCTGCACTTAGAACCACTGGAATCAGCATGCAAGTTGTGCTATGACATATTAAGGAAAACAAAAACCAAAAAAATGGAAGCATCAACCAACTTGTATGAACCATATACTAAACAAGGCACATTGTGGCATAACTGACATTGATTACATTTAACATGAAATGTGAGCAGCAATAACAAGTAGTTTCTTTGGGTCAATGTGAATGATAGGAAAGAGTGAAACCTGAGGGGGGAACTCCCGTATGAGGGGGGGGAACTCCCGTATGAGGGGGGGTAACTCCCGTATGAGGGTCTGGAGCTGGATAGAAGAAGTAATTCTTCTGCTCTTCAAAACCAGTCGACGTTACTGGAATGACCAAGTTTTGGGAGAGCAAACCAGCTATCAAAACCCACATGAACAAAGAAACCTGCATTCTTCTTTCCCTCTCCATTTCTGTCTGGTATAGAGACACTCCAACAAGAAGAAAGAATGAAGATTGGAAGGTATGTGTGGGTTCAGAAGATGAGGAGGGTGAATATAAAGGATGAACAAGGTGAAGTAAATAGAAGCAGTTGAAGCAGCATGAGGTTAGTTGATGACAGCAAGTGCATTTATATGTACTATCAATTCATATTAGGATTAGAAGAGTGAATTATTCATGAATCATAACTGTGGTGGTGGCATGGATTGGTGTAGGCATGAGGATCAGGTTCTGATTTCGTCTATTTGGATTGGGAATTAAGCCAGGATCGGACTTATGATCTAGTGCGAAACAACTATTTTCCAACATTATGATCTAGTGTTTGTGACAATTTTTTTATCATGCCCTTTATTTCCTTCGGGGAATGCCAATTATAACGAGAATTTCATGGCTTAATTTGGGTTGGTTTTGTGCATCATTCGCCAAATGATACCAATTTGAAATATCCTGAGCGAACATAAATGTTTTGTTTGGGTTCCTCTGATAGGAACTTGGGTACGTGAAGCAATAAATCTTAATGCTGACAAGTTTAGTAAGACTGTTTGCTGATGTACATAAATACAAACAGCTCAAAGATTAATCGTGATATATAGCAGTGTTGTACTATCAGTATGAAATTAGAACCACGAGACAAGAACATTACACAATGAATCTGGTGCTTAGCTCAGTTACTTCATGCAATTATCATTAAGAAACAGCATCCAGCAGGTCTGAAATTTAAATAATAATACTTGCAATCCATTTCCTATCCTCATGCTACAGCCTCCTTAATTTGAAAAAAAAAAAATTACATTACTTAGTTCCATCACAAGGATGTGTTCCAATTTAGTGGGATGTTTAAAAGGAGCAACACTTTGAAGTGTCTTATACACATAAAATTTCATTTCATGATCTCCTGGTTGCTGCTAGAGCTTTCAGTAGAAAATCTGACATTTTAGAGTCATTTTGGAACCTGATAGATCAATGAACCTAAAAGATTCATGTCTCTTGGTACAGACTAAACCCCAGGTCCTAAAATTTTCCAATATCAAGTTTGCAAAAGGGAAAGGAAAACAATGGTTGATGGGGCTTGGCTTAGCTGTCCCCAAATCTATCAGCATAGGTTCAAATGTAAAATAAGATAGGTAAGGAAACGGACCAAATGCCTAATTAATTTGTCGAAGAAAGGAGGGTGAAGTTTATTAATTGAAACATGATTAGTTCCCAACTTCCCACGGCTCCAGCTCAGTCTGCTCAGATTAAAAAAAAAAAAAAACATTCAGGGCTAGGTGGAGCCTGCTCTTTGTATGGCATGGTTCATAGATATGGACCTGATTTCAGGCTTCCTTGCCTGAAAATCCTAGACTATCATTTTCCCAGTTTCATATTCACGATAAATACCCTGTTGGGTTCTTAGATTTATAGTAAATTGGCTTGTTATTTTACAATGGAATACTATGGTAATTTCTTGTATAGATTGCAAATGCAAATGTAAAATGAAGTTTGTCATTTTGTTAATTCCTGTAATTGTAGTTGCTCTTGAAGGATAGTGATCGAAACATTTGTACAACCTGTGACCATCAACTAGAATAGATCATCAGACACATAGATGGGCATGAACATCAGAACATGATGAAATGCAAATTCCCAAAGAATGAGATGAGAGACCTGGCTAACATGGAGAAATGGACCCACAATGCAGCAAATGGAAAAAGGGGTGATGTTTAAACTTAATGGCTGTGACAGAGAGGTAGGTGTGTGGTAGCACAAGATAATTAGAAGAGTAAAGAGAAACAGCAAAGGTGGTCCACTTGGTGGCGTATAGTTTAAGCCCTTGTAAAACCTGTCTTTTGAGACTGATTGGCCAACTTTTAAGCGTAGTTATATAGATGTACGAGACATGCGAGGAGGGAGCAGAGAAACAAATAACTAAAGGGAGGGGAGGAGTAGTCAATTGTGATGCAGAATTTTTTTTTTTTTTACAAAGAAATTTATAGCTTTGGCATACAAATAAAAATTATAAATATGAAAATCTAAATTTTAAATTTGAATGTCATTTTTAAAAGATGCCCTGTAAGAATTAATTAAACTTAATTTTAAAACTGATAATTTAAATATTTGTGTCATATAAAACATAGATAATTGATATATTTATATTATAGTTTACATGAAAATTATAAATTATTATTTATATAAACATAAAAAAATTATTTTTATTAAATTCATATATAATTTTTAATAAAATTTTAAACTGTATTTTTATATTATTTTTATATCAAATGACCATAATATACATTAAATTGTGAGGTCTAGTAAACCTCAAATTTATTTCCAGTGTAAAAAAAGCTTTGGCACTGCCAATTTCTACAGTCCATAGTGAGCTGTCATAGATGGAGAAGGATGCAGCTAATAACAGTTGCAAAATGAGTAGGGTTAACTAGTTAGGAAACACTCATTTACTTTGGCTTTAATTTCAACTTCCAATTGTAAATGACACTTTATTATTACAGTTATAGCAGAAACATAGATCCTAGCTTAATAGGTTCAATCAAAGCCAAAAACCACGATGTCCCGTTCCCATAAACTTTGGATCAACCGCAAATTTCAAAACTATGCTGCTGCCACGACGGAAAAGACAAAGAAATTTTCACGGTTAAATATAAAAATTGATATTTGGATTATCCTTTTTTTTATCAGTTTGGTATTTACAAAAATAAAATTATTAGTTTGATATTTTAATTTTTATTCTACCATTCATTTGATCCTTAAGACTAATGTCGTTAATCAATTTGCTGATACAATATTAACATCTAATAAGATATTGACACATATCAAAAAATTTAATTAACGTCACATCAATAATGTCATGTTAATTTTAAAATAAATTTTCAAAAAATTTTAAAAAATTCTTAAAAAATTGTAAAAGTTTTTTAAAAATTCTATAAATTTTTCATTTTTTTAATCTTACAAATTTAATATTTTATATATTTTTTGAACTTTTCAAAAATATATTGAATTTTTTTGGATTTTTATGAAAATTTTGATTTTTTTCTTTTTAGAATTTTTTTCAATTTTTAGAATGTTTCAAATTTGTTAAATTATCTAATTTTTCAAAAAATTTTAAAAATTTTTATATATTTTTTTAAAATTTCAAATATTTTTAAATAATTTTAGATTTTTTTTAATTTTAATTTTTTAATTTTTGTGATATAATTAAATTTTAAGAAAATTTAATTATTATTAAATTTTTTTAGGTTTTTATTAAATTTTTAATTTTTTTTAATTTTTAAAAATATATTTTTTTATAATTTTAAAATTATTTCATTTTTTTATTTTTTAAAAATTTTTAAAATTTTTAGAATTTTTTTAGAATTGTTTAGAATTGTTTATCCATTTTTTTTAGATTTTTCTTTTTATACTAATGTAGATTAATAATATAGCGCTAGCTAAAGTTTTTGACATGTGTCAACATCTTATTAGATATTTATGCTACATTAGTACTAAAAACTAACGGCTTTAGTTTGAAATACCACTATAATAACAGAATGAAAATTGAAGTACCAATCTTACAATGTTATTTCTTTATATACTAAACTGATAGAAAATGTATAATTCATGAGTCATTTTGTATTTAACCTAAATTTTTATGATAATTTTGTGGCTTTGATGTAATAAATTTTATTTTTCCTGAAAAGAAAAAAAAAATTTGCATAATCAAAATTCATATTTCTGAAACTTGTTGCTGAAAAATGAGACAATAAAAAAATTATGTGAATTTTTTTGTTAATCTAATTCAATAAATATTTTCTTAAAAAAAAAGAGATTAAAGTTAATTTTATCACAGTATTATGGATGTAGACATCAAATTTTGTTCGAGTTCTTCGAATTAGGCCTTGCTTTTGGATTCTATTTAATTTTATTGAAATTATAAAAAATAATATTAACTAAAATAATTAATTAATCAATAAAAAAAGAGAGAGAAAATGATGGTGTCGTGCATGGCAACACTGGCATGGCACTTCTAACACCCTATTCTGAAACCACCTGTCCCAATCACCTATACCCTGTTACTAACTACACAACCCATTCCCTTATGCACCATACCTTGAGCCACACCTAGCAACACCTACCATGCACCTACCCCTTAACTGTCACCATTCTTGACAACATGGATCACACCAAACATATGGAAAGATCACCCACTAAGCCAACTTTATAAAAAGGAGCTTCACAAAAAAAAAAAAAAAAAGAGTCTCTGTCCAAAAATCTTACTAGAAAACATCTAAAAAAATAAAAAGAAACTTTGCCAAAAAAGAGTTAAACAAAACAAAACAACAAAAAAAAAAAATAAGAAAGAGGAAAACTTTGCCAGAAAGCCCAAAAAAAATAAAAACCTAAAAAACCTGTCAAATTGGAATAAAAAAATCCAAGCCCTTCAAACCAAAAAAACAAAAAAAAATACTACAATCTCTTTTGTGAGGAAACCCAGCACCTAAAAATAAAAAATAAAAAGGAGTAGCAAATTTTTTTTTTTTTTGTTTTTAAAGAAGAGCTGAAGGGTTTTCTTTTGATCTAGGCTTATGGCTAGGTTTTTTAGTGAAATGGAAGTTGGAACGAGGTAGATGAGGTAGAAAGAAGTTTTTTTCTGGCTCTGAGATATTCTCCGTCGACATGCATAGTAATCGATAACTAACAAGTGACGACATCAGCAATGTGTATGGTAATCAATTGCTAAAAACTAAGTTTTTTTTAGGGTGAGAGAGAGAAAAGGCGTAAAGAGAGAAAATAGTAGAAAATATGAAATAAAAAAACTTTTTGGCCTTTTATAGTGTTACCAAAAAAGAAAGAAAGAAAACAACCAAAATAACATAGTTTCAGGAGTGAAGATCCGTGCATCGACTCGGCCCAGCCCAAGATCAGCATAACTGACCTACTACTTTGTCTTTTTTGAGTCGAACTGGCCTAAAACAACTTCAACCAATCCGAACCACTGCAAACCGCTTTGGATCGTCAAAAAATGGTTAAACCTCCAAACCAGTTGAAAAGTGTTGAACTAGTCTCAGAACTGCTAACTGCTTTGACCAAGAGTCATTTTCAATATTTT